AGAAGTTTTTCCTAATGTCCAGTCTAAATCTGCTCTCTGCTAGCTTGTGGCCATTATTTCTTGTAACCTGCGGGGGCGCCTTGGTGAATAAAACCTCACCAATTCCCTTCTGTGCCCCCGTGATGAACTTATAGGCAGCCACAAGGTCGCCTCTCAACCTTCTCTTGCGTAGGCTGAAAAGGTCCAGGTTCTCTAGTCTCTCCTCGTAGGGCTTGGTCTGCAAGCCCTTAACCATACGAGTGGCCCTTCTCTGGACCCTCTCCAGGTTATCTGCATCTCTCTTGAAGTGCAGTGCCCAGTATTGCACGCAGTACTCCAACTGCGGTCTGACCAGCGTCCGATAGAGGGGAAGTATCACCTCCTTGGATCTATTCGTCATGCATCTGCTGATGCACGATAAAGTGCCATTGGCTTTTCTGATGGCTTCGTCACACTGCCGACTCATGTTCATCTTGGAGTCCACTAGGACTCCAAGATCCCTTTCCACTTCCGTGCCACCCAGCAGGTCATTTCCTAGGCAGTAGGTGTGCTGGACATTTTTCCTCCCTAGGTGCAGCACTTCTGCATTTCTCCTTGTTGAATTGCATTCTGTTGTTTTCTGCCCACTTGTCCAACCTGTCCAGGTCTGCTTGCAGCTGTTTCCTGTCCTCCGGCGTGTCCACTTCTCCCCATAGCTTTGTGTCATCCGCAAACTTGGACAGAGTACACTCCCTCGTCCAAGTTGCTGATGAAGACATTAAAGAGTATCGGTCCAAGTTATTTCAGACCTGATGACTAAACCCGAGTCATATACTCCATGGGTTACCCAGCTCTTGGAAGCAAGTCTGAAGCGCCAGTGGAAGCACTGAAGCCAGCAGAGTTTGAGAAGCTTCCAAATAAATGTGACTAAGAAAAGGAATCAGGGTGGGCAAGGAGACCAGAGTCAGAAAAATTCTTCCTATAGGGAGTCAGAATTGGAGATGAGGCAGAAGCTTTGCATCCCTGTACTTGGGAGAGATTTTGGGCGTTTACCCACATGCTCTGGGAGTGGGGAGTGGGGGAGGAGGGGCTTTAATTAGACTGGCTTCAAGAGCCTCTTTAATTAAAGCACCCAGAGTATCTCATGCATCAGCGTTCTCGCGCTTAATAATGGTGACGGAGCACTTTATCTGAAGCTTATCGAACAAGCTTTTGATAAAGCGCCCCCACTGACATTTTTAAGTGTGGGGATGCTGATACACAAGACGCTGGAGTGCAGTAAGTACCACGCTCTTATATGCAATTACAGCATATTGGAGCAGTCTTGCTGCTTGTGTATAGGCAGCCTAAGTGTCTTATCACAGTTGGGCTGTTTACTGTGGAGAAAAGGTATTTGAATAGGGAGATTGGTAGGGGAAATGGATAATAAGTGGTTCCTCTTGTGGCAATGAAGTAAAGACCCAGGTCCTGTTTCCACCAAAGCCATGAAGTAGGAATTGTGTGGGTTATATGGAAGGCAAGAGTGAAATGATT